ATTTTTAGCTATAGCACAATCCGAACAGAAGAAATCAACGGAGGATTTACCTTGCAGTGCAAGCTTATTACCAGAAATCACTTTTCGAAAAATATTGGAGGAGGGATGACTCAATCTACTATGCCAAATCTGCACTGGAGCTTTAATACTGACAAATGCTGAAGAAGAAATTGAAGAAGCAGTACCAGGTGAAGGAGAGCTTTGCAAAGGATAGGATCCATCTCTAACTGGTCCCCGCAAAAGCATCTTCCCCGTAAAACGATCGTTGACAAGGGATCCATCAGAATCAAGTGTCAATGAACATGAATTGTCTTTGAAAAATTGAAAAGCAGACAACAAGTTGTGCTTCATTTGAGGAGCATGAAGTACATTTTTCAATTTAAAGGAAGTACTGGGAGTATGTAACAAAGAGGAACCAATATGGTTGATGGACAGACCTTTACCATCACCAATATAGACTTTGTCTTCACCGGTGTAAGGAGATGAAGAAGATATGTTGGAGATGTCATTGGTAATGTGAGACGTTGCGCCAGAGTCAATGAGCCAGGAAGGAGAGGGCTTTGATGTATAGTGCGCACACATTGCAGCAAGCTTGGTGGGAGGGATTTTACCAGAAATTGCAAGATTCATGCGATCATAGCAGTCAATGGCCTCATGACTTGTATTTCCACAGATCTGGCAAGGAACACGAGCACTAGAGGAAAAGGAACCACGAGAGTTGGAATTATGACCACGATTGAAACCAGAAGGGAAGCCAGAGTTGTGGTTGCCCCGATGAAAGCCAGAATTGTAGTTGCCCCAATTATGGCCATAGTTGCCCCGATTGTTGGAAAATTGATTATTCCTGCCACGATTGGAATTATATCGAAAAGAGTTTTGAAGCGGTGGATGTTGAGCAGCAAATGCCTGAGGTGGTGTAGGAAGAAGAGGCGGTGAGACTTGGGTCGAGAGAGCATGAAACGGTTCAGTGGTTGCAGAGGAGGCAATTTTCTTCCTTCGAGTCATGGAAAGCTCCTTTGTGAGTAATAAACCATGTAATTCATCAAGAGATGTTGAAGAGAGACGGAGCATGATAGAATCAATGAATGATTCAAACTCATCAGGAAGCCCAACCAGTGTAGCAGCAATAAGATCGCGATCCAAAACTGAAGCTCCGGCTGCAGTGAGGGAATCAAAGATTTCCTTGATTTGTTGCAGATAATCAGCCATTGTTTGGGAGCCTTTCTGAATACTCTGAAGACAAGAACGAAGCTGATGAATATGAGCATCAGAAACACCACCAAAGCGCTGCTCAAGTTTGAGCCACAGATCTCTGGACGAAGAAACACCAACAGTAAATGGAATGACTTCCTCAGAGAGTGTTGAATTGAACCAGATGAGAAGATTCTGATCCTTCTCATACCAACTCTCGTAAGCAGGATTGAGTGATCGATCTGGTAAAAATGGCACCGGACAAGGCTCAGTTCCATCAATAAGTCCAAGAAGCTTGTAGCGACGAAGAATTGGGGCAAACAGAGCACACCAAGGCAGATAATTCGAACGCTTGAGCTTGATCGGCACCATGCTACCGATGTTTTGAATTGTAAGAGAAGTGTAGGTTTGGGACGAATTAGGGTTTGAAAAGGAAGAATTGGGATTCTTAGTGGGGATAGACGGAATCGGAGAAGAGGATTCAAGAGGTGACGCCATCAGAGATGAAGGAGACAAAGAATCAAGAGAAAGAACAGCAACAGTCAATTGCTTACAGATCAGAGATCAAACCAGAGATCAGAGCACAGAAGCGGAAGAGACTAGGATCGAAGAGTGCCGTGAGGCAGTGGTGATTGATACCATAAAGAGAAACAAAGGAACCAGAGAAATAAAGGAAAACAGAAGAATAGTTTTACTGAATAATCCTTTTCTCATTTACTGACTTTTCTTCCTTAATTACATTTACATTTTAGGTGTATATATATAACCAAGGCTGTACTAAACTTTCCCTAACAACCTGCTGTAACAAACATAACAGCGTAACAAACTAAATGAGCTGTCATGAGTCATGACTTGGCATCTTTATCTTTAGCGACAACATGATGAAGAAGAAACAAATGGCATCAGAAAACAATGCACAGAAGGACGGCTTCCTGCCACAAAAAATTACAATTGAAAAACAAGAGAACTCAAAGACAAAGAAGATTACACGCAGAACCAAGTCCATGCTCTGATACCATGATAACCAGAAAAGAAGGTTCAATGGAAGAAGACGAAAATGAAAAGAAAGAATTGCACAAAGCTTTTCTGATTTTCTGCAATCTGTTAGAGATACAAATGAAACTCTAAGCTTTATAGCTTGCATTAGTCTTAACTAATTCTTTACAACCGTAACAACTTCTAACTGTATCTCTTAATAGGCGTGAAATAGACGTGCCTGACTAATGCTACCATGTATATTTCTACAGAATTTCCATATGCTCCTTTCTTTGTCTGCCAACAGTCAATATGTCCCTATATGCCTAAGGCCGGCCATAAGCTTTTTGTGACCCCTCTCGAAAATAAAATGATAGGTTTTTTTTCTAAATTCCCACATGAAGAAATGTAAAAAATTGACAAGGTTCAATTAATTGAGATTATTGTTTAATACATAATGCGAAACTGTCACAAAACATATATGTTTATAGTAGCGCTCAAGAGCTAACAATTTGTAACTTAATAAGAAACTAACCACGCATTTAGACCCAATGCATAATGCTTCTCATGATTTGAACTAATTATTTTTCAAGAGTGACTAAATAAATAGACGAGCACATTAATATTAGATAACAATTAAATGTTCTCAGTCATATACAAATGCCTAAATGATTAATTTCCGATTTAGGTGGAACTTTGGAGGAATGATCCTTGAATGAAAATTTTAAAATAAACAGTTGGAATCATGAAGTTACATTGTGGAATAGGTCCAAAAACGAGTGGTTATCGCCATATTAAGTTACTAACTGGTTAGCACTTGTGCGTTTTTGTACGATATGTTTATATTAGCTTGAATTGATGATCTTTGGGCCCACTATGTGTTCTAGTTTCATAATCAAAACCTTCAATTTTTTAGGTGTTCTCTCAAAGATAATCTCAAAACAAAAAATCACCAAAATGGAATAATTTAACCATTTGATTAAGTGGTAGTGATTTTAGTTTGTCTTTGAAAACCATCGCGTTCGTCAATTTATTTGACCACACTTAGATATCTAAATGGTTTACATGTTGGCTAATTTTTTGCAAAGATGATTAATATGAATGACCATTTGAATAATTGAAACACAATTCGAAGTGGGCCCCACAAGTGACCCATCAAACAAATTTATTTTATGAATCCCTTAATGGAATGGGATATATATTATATATACTAGCGTCTTGACCCGCATGTGTTAATTAATAGCCTTCTTTCTCCTATTTACTTATTCTTTTATCCTTAATTATAGAGAAATTTTTTGCATCTAAGTGCTAAACAGTCAGTAAGTTAATAAGGCACTAACCACTCGCCTTGATCTACTCCAAAATCTATCTCATGATCTGAACTGTTTACTTTTCAGTTCGTTAATTGAATGATCATCCCTATGCATTCAAATCGAAAGGTGCTTAGTTATATAACTATTGCCAAAATAGACGATCACAATATGTTTGATAAAGAATGAAATATTCATGATAATAATCAAGTGGCTACAAGATTTTTCTCAATTTGGATGCAATTTGACAGGAATGATTATTTGGCTCCTCTTATGTGTGTTCTTGAAAAACATTGATATGTCAACTGTGTAATTTGGGTTCAATTTGGGTGTATTATCTCGTACGTGCGGATCGAGATAGGAGGAGGAAAGATAGTTCAAGCATGCAACTTGCCCTTCGGATCATCTTCTACGTCATCCATGAATCGCTTCCAGAACCAGTGTTGCTTCCAAACTCTTTCTGTCATTTCTTCAATAGGGACACCCTTGGTCTCAGGAATTAAGACCACAACGAAAATTGTCATGACAAAGACCCAAAATGTGAAGAAGAGGAAAATGCCAAACTTCATGTTGCAAAGCATTGAGAGGAAAGCCTGTGCTATGATAAAGGTGAAGAGCATGTTGGTACAGACAGCCACACTCTGGCCTGCTGAGCGGGCCTCTAATGGGAACGTTTCGCTAGGGATCAACCACCCGAGAGGTCCCCAAGACCACGCGAAGGATGAAACAAAACTGCAAACCATAAGCACCACAACAATTGCCAAGCCATGGCCAAGGTTGTTAGAGTGATCCTTCACTTTGAGTCCCATTATTATTGCAACCACCAATTGAGAAAGGAACATTTGGACACCGGCTTCTAACAATAGCACGCGCCGACCAGCTCTGTCGACAAAGTATATTGATACAACGGTTGAGAGGACATTGACAGCTCCTGTAATAACAGCTGAGTATAGGGAAGCATCACTCTTAAATCCCAAGGTCTGGAACAAAACTGGAGCGTAGAACATGATTGCGTTAATGCCAGTGAATTGCTGGAAAATCTGTAGGCACGTAAAACATAACATGTGAGACTATATGATACGTGTTAAATGTAACTAAGATTTTGAATTGCCTTAGTTAGCACAAGTTATAGTATAGTTGCGGCACCTGCATCCAAATTGCAATGACCAATTGAGGCCTGTTCCTACGCTTAAGGAGGTTTCTGAAAGGATGCTTCACTTCTTTTGCCACACGACTTGCCTCCACAATCTCTAAGAATTCTGGATCCACATTGTCAACACCCCTAATCCTTTTAAGAACTGCTTTTCCTTCCTCCAACTTACCTCGTTCGATCAAACTGTTAGGAGTGTCTACCACAATGAGAGACCCAACAGTCAGCATACCTGCTGGAATGCCAGCCAAACCTAGCGACACTCTCCATCCATATCCCCCTTCAATTCTGTGCCAGAAAATGTACATTGATTAATCACTTGTGTCTAATTACCGGTGATGATTAATGGAATATTAGGGAGGATGGTGGCTTACTTGGCAGTTCCAGAATTGATAAGATTTGCGAAAAGAATGCCAATGGTGATATTTAGCTGGAAGAGTATGTTAAGTGCCCCGCGAATTCTTGTGGGTGCAATCTCAGAAAGAAAAAGCGGCACTGCCTGTAATTATATTCATTAATTAGTAAAACCTAGCATGTGATAGAAAAAGCTAAGATTAGGAAATAATTATGTACCTGGTTAGCAAAACCAACTCCACAACCAAGCAAGATCCTCCCAATGATAAGCATGGCAAGGTTAACAGCTGCAGCATTAAAAACTGTTCCGACTACAAAGAAAACCCCAGCAATGAACATGGTGAGCTTTCGTCCCCAGGGATCGGGTTGTGTACGACGCGAAGAAGGTTGAAATTAAAGCAGCGAGGTACAAGGAAGATGTGAACAACTGCAAGCCTTGATTATCGTATTTGCAGTAGTTGCTCTCAAGTCCAGTCTCTTGAGTCTTCTTATAAACAACCGGGAAGAACTGTTTCAGGAAAGAAGGCATGGATGTAACACCCCCTGCATCCATCACAATGATCACACGTGTCAAATTAATTAAATCAAGAAAGAATTCTAATTAACTTTTTAACCCCCAAAAAAAAATGGTTAATGAATTTGACGTGAATGATATGAAAAGCTCCACAATGCCTACCTGAAATACCAACATCATAACCGAACATGAGGCCTCCGCTAGCGGCCATTATGCAAGAAATGATCACTAGAGGCGTGATCTTTGCTTCAAAGTCTCCGCCTCCCGATGCGGCCCCAAAGCCACCTCCGGCCATTGTTTCTGCTTCCTAATTAAGTACTCAAACTTATTTTGCTACACTTTGATCACTTTGATTCTGCGTATTTAATTTGATGAATGCGGATACTTGTATATACTAGCCAACCTCAATGACACTGTTTTGAAAAACTAGCTCGCTGAAATGAAATGTGTGCTTGAGGGGTTTATGTAGTAGGTGACCTCAGGGCAACAGCGAGTGAACTTTCGTAGATAAAGGCATGATTTAGTCTGTACAATGGTCAGGATCCTTCCCCATGGCATGATCTATGGTTGGTTTTGATTGCTTGGTCAGGCATTAACGCGAAATTCGTTGAACTAAGTTGATCGAGTCTGTCTAGAGTAAAACTAGAAGGGCCGTACATTTCCTAACCTTATCATGTGGTAGTTAATTCGTCAACTAGTACATCTTGCATATGTCTTAAAATGGATGTTGCCACAAGGTAAGCCAGATGTACTAACCTACAAATATTTTTAATTTGTTTTGAATAAAATATTTTAAGATAAACCAGATCATGCGTGACATAACAATAAAAGATAAGCCTTACATTAATCGGTGAAAATAACAATTATTAAAGCAATTGACATGCAGAGTGTAGTCTATACACTGCTGACAAGTACTTTGCTTGGAATGAAATTGAAGCTACGTTCAAAGGAAGAAAAACAAATCAAATGGCATGGAGGTGCGAGATGAAGGTCTACTAGAACTAAACAACTCCTAAAACTTAAATTCTTGGAAATTGTAAAATCTAAGAACCCTGCAGGCAAGGATAACTGGTTTACGCATTTGCCTGGGCCTTGGGATTATCTTCGACTTCATCCATATATCGCTTCCAGAACCAGTGCTTCTTCCATACTCTCTCAGTCATCTCTTCAATAGGGACACCTTTCGTCTCGGGAATTAAGAAGAGAGTGAAGAGAGTCATGGCGAAGACCCAAATTGCGAAAAACAAGAAAATGGCAAACTGCATGTGGCAAAGCATTGAGAGGAAGGCCTGGGCTATAATAAAGGTGAAGAGCATGTTGAAAAAGACAGCCACACTTTGGCCGGCTGAGCGAGCATCTAGTGCGAAAATCTCACTAGGAATCAACCACCCAAGAGGTCCCCAAGACCATGCAAAGGAGGCAACGAAACTGCACACGAAAACCAGCACAAGAATTCCCAAGCCATGGCCGAGGTTGTTCACGTCGTCCTTAAGTTTGATTCCGAGCACTACTGTAATCACAATTTGAGAAAGGAACATTTGAACACCCGCTTCTAGCAGGAGCACGCGGCGACCAGCCCTGTCCACAAAGTAGATTGATACAATAGTTGAGAGGACATTGACAGCTCCTGTTATGGCGGATGAGTAAAGGGAAGCGTCACTCTTAAATCCCAAGGTCTTGAACAAAACGGGAGCGTAGAACATAATTGCGTTAATGCCAGTCAATTGCTGGAAAATCTGTATGCACGTACAAACATAACATGTCAGACTATCTAATAATATGTGATTGTGAAAACTAGTTAACACAGCAATAGGCTATAGTCGCAGCACCTGCATGCAAATTGCAATGACCAGTTGAGGCCTGTTTCTGCGCTTAAGGAGATTTCTGAAGGGATGCTTCACTTCGTTAGCCGCACGACTGGCCTCAACAATTTCTGCGAACTCTGGTTCGACGTTGTCAACACCACGAATCTTTTTAAGAATCGCTTTCCCTTCCTCCATCTTACCGCGAGCAATCAAACTGTTAGGAGTGTCTGTTACAATGAGAGACCCCATGGTTAACAAGAGTGCTGGAATGGCAGCTAAACCCAGTGATATCCTCCATCCATTTGGCCCTGACATTCTGCATGCAGGTGGTACATAGCACAACTTCATTACACCTCATATGTGATTAATATTTATAACTAGCTAATAATTAATTATATTGGCTTAATTACTTGGAAGTTCCATAGTTGATCATGTTTGCTACAAGAATGCCAATGGTGCACATCAGCTGGAAGAGTATATTAAGTGACCCACGAATTCTTGTGGGTGCAACCTCCGAAAGGAAAAGTGGCACCGCCTGTAATCAATCCATTAATTACATGGAATTAAATTTATGAATATTATGTGTTCAAACTACAAATCCTTATAATGGAAATTAAGATAAGATTAAGAGTTAATTGAACCTGGTTTGCAAAACCAACTCCACAACCAAGTAAGATCCTGCCAATGATAAGCATGGCAAGGTTAACAGCTGCAGCATTGAAAACTGTTCCGACGAGGAAGAAAATCCCCGCCATCAACATGGTTAGCTTTCGGCCTAGCGATTTGGTTGTGTAGGACGCAACGAAGGTAGCTACCAAAGCAGCGAGGTACAATGAAGACGTGAACAGCTGCAACCCCTGATTATCGTATTTACAGTAATTGCTTTCAAGTCCAGGCTGGCTGTTCTTCTTATACACTGTTGGGAAGAATTCCCTCAGGAACTCCGGCATGGATGTAACACCCCCTGCGTCATAATTTATAAATTCATCGTCAGAGGACTACAATATAAAATTCACATGAGAACATAGCTAGCTAGCTATCTTAACTAGATTTGGAATGCATGGACGGCTGATATCACACACATGCATTTACTTACCAGAAATGCCGACATCATAACCAAACATGAGGCCACCGCTGGAGGCTAATATGCAAGAAATGATCACAAGAGGCGTGATCCTTGCCTCAAAATCTCCGCCTCCAGTCCCTGTCCCAAATCCACCACCCGCCATGGTTTTTGCTTCTTAATCAATTTAGTACTCAAACTTATTAGTTAGCTACACTTTAATTCTTAGTATTTAATTACACAAGTATTTTGCATGTATTTATATATATCTATAGACGACCTCATGTACAACTAAAGAAGAAGAAGAAGAGACTTTGCTCGGTGAAATGAGGTGTGTGCTCTTGAGGGGTTTATATACCAGACGACCTGAAGACCTCAAGGCGACAGAGAGTGAACCACGTTGAAAATGGATGACTGTCGTGGCTTAGTAAGTTCCGTGGACAGGACCTTTCCACATGGCGTGGTCAACTGTTGTTCTATACTCTTCATTCTTTTTGCTTTGCTTAGTCTCAGTCATGTCCAAGATATATTTAGACAACCCAAAATTATCCAGCTAACATTGTCATATCGAGTCGTTGAAATTATCTGATCCGCATAGTAAATCATATGTATATTTTGAGACTTCTATTTATAAGCCAAATCTGTTATGTTTTAACGATATTACTTAAAGGAATATTTTTGTTCATCGCCTTAACCCAAGGGAGTGCACCATTATCTTCACTTTAAATGTACACCTAATTGATCTCTAATATTTTTGTGTTGCAAGCTATAACTTTTCCTTTGGGAGCTCGAGGAACTGGTTAAATCATGAACTCATCGATTAAAAGTACAAGAAAGAACTGTGTGCAGTTGAACACATAAATAGAAAATTAGATATTAACCCAAAAATGTAAGCATTCATAGGGAAAACCCCATGGGTTTTTTTAAGGATCAATGTAGGCCTATTTTTGGGTTTTTATCAAAATTTTCATTGATGATCATAGTTTGACTTTTCTCAATGTCCGTATTACCCCAAATAATATCCATTTTTATTTATTATTTAACATTACTGATTTGGAGGTGCTGGATTTGCCCCTTTCCTCTCTAGCGTTTTAAAAGGTTCTATCAAGGCGCACCTCATGGAGTTCGTCGATATGAGGCTGCCTGAAATCGCATCAAGGCACCATTCGTTTGGCAAGTTACACGATTGAGGCACGAACTGTGTTGCAGAAGGAGTTGCAGAGGCGTGTCGCTTATGGAGGCTCTAGTTCACGAATGAAGACAACCCTTTTTTAAATTTTCACAAACGACGTCGTCCTTCGTTTATGTTTAATGAAACGCGTGTTTCAATGAGGTGGTTGTTTAAAAATCAAACTCTTTGGTTTTGGTGCAACCTAGATAACAGTAGTTTCAAGATTCATTATTTTGCTTAAATTACTTGGTTGTTATAATAAATATTTCATTATAATAATGTAATACCAAAAGGCTTACGCTCCCAATTTGAAGAAGCCTATCTGTACCAAAAAAAAAACAAAGAAGAAGAATCCTTGCACGATGCTCTCACATCACAATTTGAATATTAGAGTTTTTGTTTAATTACGACTTGATTGACACAAAATGTTTGTTGATCTAATCTTTTTTTACTGTGATAATATGTTATTATTATTTTTGTATTTATTTTACCATGCTAGTTAACCCTAAAATTATCTAAGGGTCTAGTTCATTTTAAAATATGTTTTTTTATTCAGTCCTTGGGTAGTACCAAAATCATTATTGCCCCTCTCTTGAAGAATTCCTAGATCCGCCACTGCCCAACGCCAACGGCGTTTTCCTCGAATTTGAAAAATACGGGTACAAAATAGACGAAATGGGATTGAATTCTTTTCCAGCAAAGCTTTTCTTTAACTTCTTCGTTATATGGGGGTTCCAAATTGTGCTTCCAATTGGTTGCCTTTCTATGCACTCTTCTTTCACTCCAATTTCGATCTAATTCCAATTATCACTTATGTGCAATCTTACAGAGAGATGGCTGTTTTCCATAGGGACGAGGGGCAGCTTTGGGGTGGATTATTTTTTACGTTTTTTTTTAAAATTTATAAATATATAATTTTTTTGGCCATAATATTATTAATAATGAATGGGTATTTTAGGAATTATGGTAATGGAAAGATAAGATTGTGTTTTTTCAAATTTATATCATGGGTGAAAAGATAAGATGGGTGGGAAAATAGGACATATGAGTGGAAATAGCAGCACTCTACTTATAATACCAATTTTTTGATTTGGTCTATATGAGATTTGATTTTTGAAGCCATAAATGTTTAAAATTTAAGACTGATAATGCTTTAAATAATGGACTTTTAATTTGTTTCCATTATTTAACTTTAAGGGAAAAATAGTCACCAAAAATAAGTAATAAATGCAAATTGGGCCGCTATTCATCAATTCAAATACGTGGGTTATACCCAACATTTTCATTGAGAATTAGGTTTGTATAGAAAATTATTGACTAGAAAAGGTGTTTTGTTTGCTTTTGGATTATGCTAATCCGATATTGACAGTATAATGCAACTCAACAATTAACATAGTGCTGATCAAAAGGACTTGAGGATAACAATAATCACTTCAAAATTCGTCATTGTTCTTGTAATGCTAAACGAAATATGATCGGATGTTTGTATATATGAAACTTTGACTCCATTGTTGTAAGAAGGTTCCCTTATCACCTTTCCATTATCGTCATCATCTTGAACTAGTTTGAATATAGTACTACAACAGAGGAAAGTAACATATATATATATATATAATATTGCTTCCGCCTCCGGTTGTCCTAGTATCATATAATAATTTCTCACAAAAGAAAAATGCTTCAAGCATGCCCCTTGGCTTTATCTTCACCGTCATCCATGAATCTTTTCCAGAACCAATGTTTCCAGACTCTTTCTGTCATCTCTTCAATAGGGACATCCTTGGTCTCAAGAATTAAGAAAAGTACAAAGAGTCTCATGACGAAGACCCAAGATGTGAAGAACAAGAAAATACCAAACTTCATGTGGCAAAGCATTGAGAGGAAGGCCAGTGCTATAACAAAGGTGAAGAGCATGTTGACACAAACAGCCACACTATGGCCAGCTGAGCGAGCCTCTAGTGGGAATGTTTCGCTAGGGATCAACCACCCATGCAAAGGATGAAACAAAACTGCAAACCTTGACTACTACAAGAACCGCCAACCCCTGATTAAAGTTGTTAGAATTATCCTTAACTTTGAGTCCCATCACTATTGCAACCACCAATTGAGACAAGAACATTTGGATGCCAGCTTCTAACAAGAGTGCACGGCGACCAGCTCTGTCAACAAAGTAAATTGAGACAAGAGTGGAGAGGACATTGACAGCTCCTGTTATAACAGCTGAGTACAAGGAAGCATCACTCTCAAATCCCAAGGTTTGGAACAAAACCGGAGCGTAGAACATGATTGCGTTAATGCCAGTAAATTTCTGGAACACCTGTACCAAATATACGTACAACACTAATATTATTAATGGGCTGCCTTCAATATTGGAAAGAGAAATACCACTAAATTAATATCGGAATGAATTAAGCAAGGTATATATCAATGAAATAATGAATTGATTAATGACCTGCATCAAAATGGCAATGTCCAATTGAGGCCTGTTCTTCCTCCGAAGGAGATTTCTGAAGGGATGCTTTACTTCTTTAGCCACACGACTTGCATCAACAATCTCTAAGAATTCTGGTTCAACATTGTCAACTCCCCTAATCTTTTTAAGAGCTGCTTTGCCTTCTTCCAGCTTACCACGAGAAATCAAACTATTAGGAGTGTCTACTACAACCAGAGACCCCAAGGTTAGCATAGCTGCAGGAACGCCAGCTAAATCCAATGATAGCCTCCATCCCCATCCCCCTGCAATTCTGCGGTGCACAAAACATTAGTAATAAGAACGGTCGAAAATAAAACCAAGCATTATAAATTAGCTATATATATTAATATGCGTACTCATTATGTAAATAACTTACTTGGAAGTGCCATAATTGGTAAGGTTTGCAAAAAGAATGCCGATGGTGACATTGAGCTGGAAGAGAACGTTAGTGCCCCACGGATTCTTGTTGGTGCAATCTCCGAAAGGAACAGTGGCACAGCCTGATATATACATTAGAAAATGCAACATGAACAAATTTATAATAATAACTATTAACTGTTTATAATACACATGAATGGCATATCAGATAATTTCTCAGAAAAGAAAAATTAGTGTTTGTGGGTTGTAAAAGTAAATTTTAGTGTATCTTCATGATTTTAATAAATTTTTTGATCTACTTCTAATAAAAGCGCTTCCAAAAAGAGCGGTTATGAGCAGAAGAAGTACTTGCTACAGAAACACTCCCAAACCGGCTCTCAAACATGCTGTGTTAAAAGTAAGCAATAGTGGAAGTTTAAGATAAAGATTAACAAATTATACCTGGTTAGCAAAACCAACTCCACAACCCAGCAAGATCCTGCCAATAATAAGCATGAGAAGGTTCTGAGCTGCAGCATTGAAAACTGTTCCCACTATAAAGAAAATCCCAGCAATGAACATGGTTAGCTTTCGGCCTAGCGTTCTGGTTGTGTAAGATGCAGCGAAGGTTGAGGTTAAAGCAGCGAGGTAGAGAGAAGATGTACAATTGCAGGCCTTGGTTATCGTATTTGCAGTAATTGCTGTCAAGCCCTGGCTGTTGAGTTTTCTGATAGACAACTGGGAAGAATTCCTTCAGGAAGTCGGGCATGGATGTAACACCCCCCGCACCAAATTAGCAATATTATAACTTGTCAATAAAATGTTTCCTATTTGGACTCATTTTTCGAAAATAAGGCTTACATGTTTTTTTTTCTTCTAATAAAGTTATGTGCTTAAGTAAAGCTAAGGAATGATCTGAGGAAGGAACATGATATTTTATACAATAAAATAACTTTGCACTAAATTATATTTTAGTGTGACCATGAAACTAATTTGCACTAAATTATAAATATACTACCAACTAGCATTTGATCTTGTGGTATTTCACATCAATAAAAAATCGTAAATCTACTAAAATTTGAGATGCACAAACTCTGGGTTCAGATGGTATACCAGGTAGAGATGTGGGATATCTTCAATGAAAAAAAGAAAATCTTATAGATGCAATAGTTGTATACAACACTTTTCGCACATAATATTATGAGAAAAGTAATGTTAGAGAGTACTCAATCTTCATATTGATTGAAGGAGCTTAGGAAAGTAAGTCACTAATCCGATCATTTTCTTATACAAGTGAGAGAATCAAATACAAATTCCTTGCAACCAATCAGAACATTTAACCTATATGTTTGCTTAACATAGAAAGTCGGGTATAACACGTACGTACGCATTATTATTATTAGAGGAGCTCTATATAGAGAGCAAACGGCATGGACATTTAGTCAGTACATGGCATGATCTATGGTTGGTGTTCATTCTTGTTACTTGGTTAGCCAGCGAGAAAGATCTAACTGGTCAAATTTGGATAATGATCAAGACTAATATGAGTTTGGAATGTCGTTAATTTTGGATTTTCCTATATATATTTATGTTTTCTGGAACGGATATTTTTCAATTACCACTAACCAATGATAGGAGTCAATGAAACTAAATATCCCAAAAATAGACCATATTTACCATCCAAGTTTCTTTCTAGGTAATTTTGGTATTCTTGACTGTCCTCGGCCCCTAGACTTCCCCCCACTAAACAAAAATGGTGTTTGCCAAAACACAAAGGTTTTGTTAGTACAGAGTGTCACGACCAAAACAACAGGGGGTCGCATCAAAGTTACTCATCCATAGTGGTGGTATAACATAAATTTGTTACCTTAAGGTGCATAATTATTCCATATATATTGGATTTACATTGCTTGAATATAGGGGTGCGTGGTTAAAGGATTAATGGATTTATTATTGGAGAGTTCGGTTGATTAATGGATTTAATTTCTGAATTTCGCTTGGTTTTTTTTTTTTGGGGAATACAATCGACAGTTTAAATTAGGGTTAAATACCTTTTTGGTCACTAGGTTTGACACAAAATTTCAATTTGGAAACTGAGAAAACAATTTAGCTAAATTGGTCACTATGTTTCCCAAAGTTTACAATACTTTATAGACATTTTATTATCTTTCGTTAACTTCCTTTTAGTGCAATTTTTTTTTAACAAGTTAGGGCATATTGTACTATTAGCTTTTAACAAATTGAGGGAAAACTTGAGTTGAAATCGGAATTGTGAGGTATAAGGATCACAAATTGGATGCTATATTGAAGCTTGAATAGATTGAGTGACAACCGTATTGTGACTTTGGATGGCAAGGAGACGTAATCAAGGTGATAGAGCACCAAAGTATTTTGGAAAGTTGTTGATTTCATTTTAATTTGGCTTGCCTTTTTTATTTTCTTTATACCTCACAATTCAATTTCAACCCAAGATTTCTCTAAATTGTTAAACCATAATAGCACAATATACCCTAACTCGTTGAGTTAGAGGAAGAGGATTGAAGGTGCTTCTTAAAAAAATAAAAATAAAACTGCACTTAATGGAAGATAACAGAGTGTCTATAAATTGTAAACTTTGGAAAATACAGTGATCAATTTTGGTTAAATTTTTTTTTTCAGTGACCAAATTGAATTTCCATATAAAACCCAGTGACAAAAAAAAGTATTTAACCCTTTAAATTACATAGAGGATGGAAGCCTAGTGAAAATTCACTTCTCAAAGCAATCATTTGTTAAAATTTGGGAATATTAAGATTGGGTGTGTAAGGTTTTGGGTCCCCTATATTTACATTGCTTGAATATAGGGGTGCGTGATAAAACTTCGAGTGCAAAAAAAAAATATTATTCTATATCGCATGTTCTACAAGTCCCAGCACAAGGTTTGTCAAATTTGTTTACCCTTACGACTTGATGTATTTACAATGTTATAGATGTGAATATACTCATTAGATCAAGCAATTCCAATCAAACAGATAGAAATTAAGTCGTACTGCACTTGTTATAAAAATCGATACCATGTGTTATACAAGCCTTGTATAAGAATAAATATAATGTTCTTAACCACATGTGCTATAACTTACAAACCTTGCTTAAGGTTGCGAAAGGTTGCAAATTTTTTTAATTCGGAAGCTTGTGTGAGCTATAACAGATGATAATATACTCATTATATCAAGAAATGCCAATCAAACAAACAAACCAACAGTACAAAAAGGGACACACACACACACATATAATGTATAAGCAACTTATCTCATTATTTAAAATACTTGACTAGAATCACATCCATTTAAATATTGGAAACATTAACCACATTAGAACGTAGTTTTACAAACTTAAACATAACACAAATGATATGGGACTATTAGTTAACAATTTTATTTAACTCCATCACCCTCATAGTGGTCATCCATATATCTCTTCCAAAACCAATGTTTCTTCCACACTCTCTCTGTCATTTCTTCAATAGGCACATTTTTGGTCTCGGGAATTAGAAATAGCACAAAGAGTGACATGACCAAGACCCAAGCAGAGAAGAACAAGAAGATGGCATACTTCAAGCTGCAAAGCATTAAGAGGAAGACTTGTCCTATAACAAAACAGCAGAGCATGTTGACACAAACTGTCACACTTTGCCCTGCTGACCGAGCCTCCAATGGAAATGTCTCACTAGGGATCAACCATCCGATGGGTCCCCAAGACCATGCGAAGGCGGAGACGAAAGTACACACCATGACCACCACCAGAATTGACAAACCATAAGATAAATTATTAGAGTGGTCCTTTACCTTCAAGGCTAGCACAATTGCAACGACTATTTGAGAAAGGAACATTTGGATGCCAGCTTCCAATAAGAGCATTCGACGCCCAACTTTGTCAACCAAGAAGACAGATACAATTGTGGCAAGAACATTGACAGCTCCTGTTATAACTGCGGCGTAAAGGGAGGCATTGTTGCCAAAACCCATGCTCGCGAACAAAATGGGAGCGTAGAAAAAAATTGCATTGATGCCTGTGAATTGCTGGAAGATCTGCAAAGCAAACATTGGCAATCAAACGATGTTAACAAAATATGACTCTTATATTTCAAGTAACTGATTGACCAATGTATATATACTGACCTGCATTGCTATTGCAATGATCAGTGGGGGGCGATTTTTACGCTTAAGGAGATTCCTAAAGGGGTGCTTTATCTCTTCTGCTACACGACTTGCCTCTACTATCTCCGCAAACTCTGTTTCAATATTTTCTGTTCCCCTGATCTTTTTAAGCACTGATCTTCCTTCATCCAATTTACCGCGTTGTATCAAACTGTTAGGAGTGTCTACCACAATGAGGGACCCCAAGGTTAGCATAAGTGCAGGAACACCTGCCAGACCCAGTGATAGCCTCCAACCCCATCCCCCTTTAATTCTGTGTCGACAGAACACATGGTTATTAGAGGTTAATTAGTGGATGAAGGTTAAGCATAAGGGTAGCCATAATTATTTTCAGTCATTCCCATCAGTCTGGCATAGACAGTTTATCTTCCTTGCCTAATTGATTAAGAAACTAGTTTCATTTTCTTGGTATTTTTCATGTATATTGCTATTTCAACCAAGGAGAAAGGGACATACTTAGCAGCACCATAATTGACAAGGGTTGCCAAAAGAATTCCAATGGTTGCATTAAGCTGGAAAAGTATGTTGAGTCCTCCGCGTATTCTTGTTGGGGCTATCTCCGAAAGGAAAAGTGGGACAACCTACAAAACATGAAAATAATGCTTGATGAGCACGTTAGGGGGCGAGGCATAATGCATATGCCTCAAGAAAATGGAGGCTGAAGCTCCTATTCAAATGGTAGGAAGAAAAACAGAGTTGGTTCATATTATGTCTCTGAGCGCGTACCTCCAATATTATAACTAATGTCATAAGGTGTTATCAGTCACATCGTGTTATTTTTGAGACGCAATAACTTTCCCTATATGGGCATGTGCAATTTTTCTCCGTTCGAAACATCAACACTAAAAAGATCAACAGAGAATACCATTTCCTCTAAATCTACGTGTGGTCACAATTAGATTAAAGGCTTAATTACTGTTTTACTTCCTAAAACAGATGCTCGGTCTCACTTTACTCTCTAAAATTAAAATTCTCACTTAACCCCTAGAATCTCTAAAAATTGCTGAAATTTCTCACTTTACCACTTCAGTCCATTTTCATCCACAAAACCGTTAAGTGTGCTGACGTGGCATAGCCATTTTAATAATTTTAGCTATTAACAAAACTTTAAAATCCAAATTATAAATAAATAAACAAATTTTAAACACTTTAAAAAAGAAATTTAGGGTTAACAAACCCCTTTCTTCCCCTCCCCTCCCGTCATCTAAGAGAGAGAGAAAGAGAAAGAGGGGGGGGGGGGGGGGGGGGGGGGGGGGGGGGGGGGGGGGGGGGGTGGGTGGGTGGGGGTTGGGGAGGGGGGGGTTGAGATAAGAGAGAAGCAGAGGGAGAGGGGCAGAGAGAGAGAGAGAGGCATACATGAGCTAAAATTACAAAAATGTCCATGCTACGTCAGCACACTTAAAAGTTTTGTAGATGGAAATGGACGGAAATGATAAAGTGAGAAAATTTCAGCAAATTTTAGAGATTTTGGGGGATTAAGTGTGAAAATTTCAACAAATTTTAGAGATTCTGGAGTTAAGTGAGAAAATTTCAGTTTCAATGGGTTAAGTGAGACCGAGTGTCCGTTCCTGGGGGTAAAACAGTAATTAAGCCTAGATTAAATTGTGTTAGAATTGTCCTGTTTGTGCCTAGCTCTTCGAAAAAGAAAATAATAATATTTTGCTAGAAATTGATAACAGTAATACAACATTCCCAGCTCTCAAACCAAAGTAGAACACCAACAAGCAAAATTAAAAAATTAAAATTAGACATAGGAAACCTGATTGCCGAAACCAATTCCACAGCCAAGCAAGATCCTCCCAATGATGACCAATGCAAGGTCATGAAACGCAGCGTTTAGGACTGTACCAACTATAAAGAAAACCCCAGCAATTAACATGGTTTTCTTTCGACCTAGCCTTTTGGTAGTGTATGATGCGAAGAAGGTTGCCACCAGAGCAGCAAGATACAGCAAAGATGTGAACAATTGCAAGCTTTGATTGTTGTATTTGCAATAATTGCTATTGGTATTCAGTTTCTGAGTGCTAGCGTAGACATCAGGGTAGAACTTTTTCAAGAAACCGGGCATGGCTGTCACACCTGCCTAAAAAAAAAAAAAAAAAAAAAAAAAAAAAAAAAAAAAAAACTAGAACAGACGATAAATAAATTGCGGGTATTTTATTTTATATGTGAGAGAGAGAAACATAGGGGCTGACCAGAAATGGCAACCTCATAACCAAACATGAGGCCTCCAGTAGAAGCCAGTACACATGAAAAGATGACAATTGGTGTGATCTTGGCTTCAACACGATCTTCTGCAGTACTGGCTAAGGCCAAGGAGCCCTGCTTCGCCATAATTACTGGCTATGATCTCAGTCTTGAAACAGTCTAAACAGCCTTATGAATTAGTATTTGTTGAAGTTCCTTGATTATGAAAGAAAGAAAGAGAGAGAGTTTCTGCAGAACCAGTAAGCAGGTGTAACACTTTTGAGAGACTTACAGCTCTATAAATATCAGCTTCTTCACCAAACTGAAGCTCGTATATTTAATATGGTTTCTGTGCATTTATTGTCTGTTCCATTCCTTCTTGTTCTTTCTTTATGATTCTATGTAGAGAAATCCAGGTACATATCCTGTCTTGTCAAAATCAAGAGACCTGCTAGCCACGGCGCAAGATTATTGCTGCACTTAATAATAGCACTGTATGTGGTGATCTTATCACTTTATATGTATTTTTACTTCAATTGATTTAATCAAAGGTACATGTTTAAATGTCTATGTTTACTCCATCAATCTAATTTTGGTGCTTATATCTATTAGCCAATATGTTTCATTCGTGCCAATGGTTTCCATCACAGTGGTGGTGGTGGATTCCCCCTCCCCCCATGGCACACAGGTTTGAAACTCCAATGGGTTTCTTTCCTCCAATGTAATCAAAACAAATATGTTTCATTCGTCTAAATTCATTAAAATTAAAAAAATGAATATTAACAAAATTAATAGAAAAAATTGTATTAATTATAAAATATTCAAATTCAATCTAAAAATGAAATTTAAAAGACTTTCTCCTCCCCCAATTTCACACTCAGACCAAACCACCTTCCAAACCTAAGCCACACTCACCATCACATTTGCTAAGCCACCTCCCAAAAATTAATTTTTATTTTATTTTATTTTTCCTAATGGATGATAAATTGTGAAAGAAATAATAATTTTAAAGTTGCAGTCTTATTTTCATGCGAGTTCGCCTATACATTAAGAGATCCTTTGTTTGTTTTAAAGTAGGCTTATTATCTGTTTCAGGGGGTGGGGGTGGGGGTGGGGTGTGATGGAGGTTGGGTCTAGGAGGGGAGGGAAGAGAGAGGTAGAGGGACAGAGGGGGAGAGAAGAGAGTAGATTGTAGAAAATATATTTGGCTTGAATGATCTTTCATTAATAACATAGAGATATATATACACGAGTTTTCCTTGTACAATAAGGAATCCTACAATCTAGGAATTCCATCTAGGGAAGGATTGGGTATATGAATCAATTACAAATTCTTTCCTATCTAAAATACATTTACTTTCTAACACTCCCCCTCAAGTTGGAGAGTGGATGTCAAGAACGCCCAACTTGCGCAACATAGCTGAAAACTTCTCCTTGCCCAAAGGTTTCGTAAATGTGTCAGCTAGTTGCTGTGAAGAATTCACATGCCATGTAGAAACAGTACCATCAATTATTTTGTCACGAATAAAATGACAATCCATCTCAATATGTCGTGTTCTCTCATGGAAAACTGGATTTGCTGCTATATGTAATGCCGCCTGATTATCACAATACATACGAGATGCTTCTGAAGATGGCAAGTGCAAATCTTGCAACAGAAAACGTAACCAAGTAACCTCACAACAGGTGCTTGCCATGGCCCTATATTCGGCTTCTGCAGAGGACAGTGAAACCGTCCTTTGTCTCTTAGTTCGCCAGGAAATCAATGAATTACCCAAGAATACACAATATCCAGTAGTTGAACGACGGGTTATGGGGCAACCAGCCCAATCCGAATCACAATAAGCAATTAAATCTAACTTGTTATCAGACTGAAAAAGCAAACCTTGACCTGGAGTGGACTTGAGATATCGAACAACTCGAAGAGCAGCATCCATGTGAGGTAATTGTGGCTGGTGCATGAAGCGACTTAGGACATGTACCGAATAGGTGATGTCTGGTGGGGTAATAGTTAGATAGAGCAGTCGTCCCACCAATCGTCTGTATTTTTCTGGATCTTTGAGTAATTCGCCTTTGTCAGAAAGCTTGGCTTCCTCCATTGGAAAGTCAACTGGTCGAGCACCTAAGAACCCATAATCTTTGAGTATCTCAAGTGCATATTTTCTTTGTGAAACATAAATGCCTTTCTTGGATCGGGAGACTTCAATACCCAAAAAATATTTCAAATCACCTAAGTCTTTGATACGGAAACGGGTGTGTAGAAAACTCTTGAGAGAATTAATGGCATCAATATCATTTCCTGTAATCAGAATATCATCAACATAAATTAATAATGCTGTAAAAGACTTGCCAACTTTGCGGGTGAAGAGAGAATAATCGGCCTTTGATTGGATAAAACCAGCAGCAAGGATGGCTTCAGTAAACTTGGCAAACCACTGTCGAGAAGCTTGTTTAAGTCCATAGAGAGATTTGTGGAGGCGACACACAAGGTTCTCCCCCTGTCGCCGAAGACCAGGAGGAGGGGACATATAGATCTCCTCATGTAAATCACCATGGAGAAAGGCATTATGAACATCGAGTTGTTGGATAACCCAGTGCTGACTGGCGGCGACAGCCAAAAGACAACGAACAGTGATCATCTTGGCAGTGGGAGAAAAGGTTTCATGATAATCCAGGCCCTCGGTTTGAGTAAAACCTTTGGCAACAAGGCGGGCTTTGTAGCGCTCAACAGAACCATCAGCACGGTGTTTGATCTTGTACACCCACTTGCAGGCAATGGGAAATTTGCCAAGAGGCAAAGGAGTAAGGGTCCAAGTGTGATTGTCAGCAAGAGCAGCAAGTTCGGAGTCCATAGCCTCACGCCAGCGAGGATCGCTGTTAGCCTCTGCAAAAGAGGAAGGTTCTATACTGCGACTGATGGAGTTAACAAAAGAAAGATGTCTGGGCGAGTACCGATGGTAAGAAATAAAATTATAGAGGGGAAAACGAGTACCTGGTGAAGGACCGGTCGACGAAGACGAGGATTGATGTGGGGGCAGAATCACCTGCGAGCAAACGAAGTCCTTGAGGCGTGTGGAGGGTTGCTTGGGATGGGAGGAGATACGGGTGGGCCGAGGTGTGTCAAGGGCGGGCTGGGTGACCGGGACGCTGGCGGAAGGAGTGGGATCCGTGGGAAGAGGGAGGTCTGAGTCTGGGGTAGGACTGGTGGCGGAATGAGTGGGGTCCGTGGGTGGAGGAAGGAGGTTTGGGCCTGGGGCAGGGCCGGTGGTGGACGGAGAAGGAGGAGAAGGGCCGGAGGTCAAAGGGAATGGGTCCGGGTCAGTAAAGGGCAATAAAGGAAGGGAGGGTCCGGTGGTATGTGGTGGTGTGGATGGGTCGGGGCTGGAGAAAGGGA